TTTCCCTTGGTGTTAACTCATTCTTTTACTATAGCTACTATGATGGCGGCTCCGGGGGTCATGAGAATTTAAATAAATGTAGTCCACATAGTTTAAGCTTTATAGCAGTCTATCCGATGAAACTTTTTGTGATGATGAAAATGTTCTGTATCTGTGATCTTCAGTACAGCGGCCACTAGCTCCATGCGGCTGCTGAGCACTTAAAATGTACTAGTGCTACTGAGGAACTGAGCTTTTAATTTTTTTTTTTTTTTTACTTTTTCGTGACCGGTAAGGGAATCACAACCCTTGGCTTGGTGTTGCCTGTACCGTGCTCAGCCAATGAGCGCACCGGTCATCTCTATATAGGGTCATCTCTATATAGGATCCGAAACCGCGGCAGGAGTGCCGCTGCACTCTCAGTGCCGCACTCTCCTGAGTGCGCCACGGGGCCGGCCCAGAGCTTTTAATTTTACTTAATTTAAATTTAAATAACTACATGTGGGTCTTAGCTACCATATTGGATAGCACATCTCTGAGGGATAGCCTCTGGGTTGTTCTTTGACTACTGGTTTTGCGTTTTGGATGATTGCCTTCTTTCTAGTAAAGAGAGAACACTGTTTCTCCCCCTTACAGCCGCTCCATTATCAAAATAGCATCATAGACACACAGTCAGGGGCAAGTACGTTATGTTACAGATCCAGAAACTGGAAGTCCTTTTTTTCCTAACATTGGACTCATCCTGTGAATTATCTCAGTTCAATTTTTTTTATTTTCTGTGTTTAAAAAGATTGAAAGGGATGCATCCTTTCTGTATTTAATGTCTTGTGTAGTACATGATCATTTTGGTCACTTTCCTTTTCTAAAGAATTATTACTAATGAAGTTCAGAAGTAGAAATCATGCTTAGCTGTATTTCTTATGAGTGCAGAGCAAAATGTACCATTTTAGTTGGTTTAAATTTTTTGTTTCAGCTGACAGCACCAAGATGCAGTAATCCTTGGAGATTGGCAGTGAAAAATGTTCACATGGTACCAGCCAGCTGCCCGCCCCCCCCCAAAAAAAGTTTTGTTTCATGGCCTCTTTAGGGAGACCTCATGTGGTACCATGACAAATATGACTGGTGATGTTTTTGTTATTTTTCATTTCTAGTGATATGTCCCTATACACCTTTTGAAGGAAACCAGAAAAAGATACCATGAATCCTGCTCAAGCGGCTTCTGAAGCACCATCTCTAATAGAGGAGCTTTTTCTAAGCTCCATGTACACTTCCATTTTCCTTTTCTACTGTTACTCTTTCACCCTCACAGAGGAAGAGGGATGACCAATAAAGCATGATATATTCAAAATGTTAATTTCTTTTTTGTTTGTCCAGCCCTTCTTATTTTAAATTGAGGGGACTCATGAAAGGTCAGAGGCCAAAGGGCCCTTCCTAATAAGGGGTTGACTTAGCCTCTCTTTTTATAGCAGAGGCACCTGAGGACAGCCCTGGGGCATGTGGCTAGGCAGGGGTCTGGTGAACCCACACCCTGGCTCTCCTGGCCTTTGGCTCCCTGAGGACCAGAGCATCATGCCTTATGCTCCATAAACTGGCCTGGTGGTGTGTCCTCTGGTGTCATCCTTCATGCCACTGTCAGATGGCAGTTACTTTCCGGGAAAGGGAGGAGAGAGGGAGCAGTCTCTAGGTGAGGATTGTGGGGAATTCTCCAGGAATAGTCTCGGGTAGACTCCCCAGGGAAACAGCCTCTTGTGGTGGACAGAGCACAGGTCAGTGACAATCTGTGGTGATCCAAATGCTCGCATCCCAGGTGAGCTGAAAGCCCAAACACAAGGCGCCTTCCCATCAGGCCCGACTGGAGTCCAGGGGCTCTTCCACCTCCCCCGGAAAGTGCTGGTGATGAGATAGGACCGCTCATCGTCAGCGGAACCCTGTGGGCTGTTGGCGTGGCATCTGTCTCCTGTTTCTTAACACACATCGAGTGTGGTGACATCATAGCAGCTTTATGGCAATTTAAAGTGAGAAGTGGAAATAGCAGTAGGCAGAAAACTGTCCTAGTTTTATGTAGAGACTGATAGTGGCTAAATGAACTTGACAAATCGCTGCATTTGTAGAATGAGAACACATCTTTTTCTCTTGTGGGGGAATTAAAGGAAAAGTGAGATTATGAAGAAATGTGAGCTTTCAGAAATAATGACAGTATATTCTAAGTGAATGTCTAATTATGGAAAAATAATAGGCCTTTGTTGTCTATTTTGACTAAGCCACATTTTAATACAAATTTACTTAGACTTAGTTACCCCAGAGAAAAGAATAGGACGTAGGCTGTTAGGGAAAATAATTTCTGTGATTTAACCATTCACTTGCTTGATGGTGCTTTTTCTGATTCTGTCTCTAGTCAGGATGGGTGCATTTTGGGAAACAAAATTGCTTCTATTTCTTCACAGATAGGGGATGTGTCAATTGTTTTTTTATTATGGTTTTTATTCTAAAGTTTTACTTTCTAAGTATGTAGACTTCATTACTTGTTGGTGCCCAAATCTAGCCTAGCAGTTAATTCATATGGTAACAGATGGTAATGCTAGATCACAGTCTTTAATAATAAGGAAAAGATTTACATACATTTTTAGGCAAAACAGTTTTCATGCTGATAGCTCTGCAAGTGGTTGTCTGTGTTTTCTGGAATATTGGGGCTTTAGTTAAGGTATACCCCAGTGTTTTCAGTAAATTAATTTATGTACATAGATATGTTTTTAGAATTCCCACTTATGTTTCTAGTTCTTTATTTTTTAGCCATCCTTCCATATTAAGGTCATTTGATTATTTAATCTCTTGCTAGAAATAGAATTAATTCAACTAAATTAAAAGGAATAATTTTTAACAGGCATCTAATTTGCATGCTATTTATAGAAAAACAAATTTTATTTATGTATTTTTTTGGTGGCTACCCAGTACAGGGATGGAACCCCATACCTTGGTTTATCAGCACCACACTCTGATCAGCTGAGCTAACTGGATAGCCCGTAAAAACAATTTTTAGTATTTGAAATTGTTTAAAAACTTGCTTTTAGATAGATTTTGTCTTCTTTTTTTTTTTTTTCCATTTTTTTGTCTTTTTTCGTGTCCGGCAACGGATCACAACCCTCAGTGTCGCGCCCGTACCGGACCGGGACCGGCAACGGGATCGCAAGATAGATTTTGTCTTCTTTTTTTTTTTTTTTCATTTTTTTGTCTTTTTTCGTGTCCGGCAACGGATCACAACCCTCAGTGTCGCGCCCGTACCGGACCGGGACCGGCAACGGGATCGCAAGATAGATTTTGTCTTCTTTTTTTTTTTTTTTCATTTTTTTGTCTTTTTTCGTGTCCGGCAACGGATCACAACCCTCAGTGTCGCGCCCGTACCGGACCGGGACCGGCAACGGGATCGCAACCCTCGGTGTTGCTCCCACACCTTGCTCAGCCAGTGAGCGGCCGGTCTGTATGTGGGATCTGAACCCTCGGCGGGAGCACCACTGCGCTCCCAAGTGGCGCACTGTAGCAGTGCGCCACCGGGCCGGCCCCGGTTTTGTCTTCTTAGAGTGTCTTTATGGGGTGTATTTTTTTGGTTTTTAATTTTTTTATTTTGGTAAAATATACATAAAATTTACAATTTTATTTTATTTTATTTTTTGGGTGGATAAGGGGATCTGAACCCTTGACTGTGGTGTTACAACACCATGCTCTAACCAACTGAGCTGACCGGCCAGCCCACTACTTAATAAACCATTTTGAAGTGCACAGTTTACTGGTTTAAGTACATGCACGTAGTTGAGCACGTCACCACTGTCTATCTCCAGAACTTTTTCATCATTCCCAAGTGAAACTGTACCTGTTAAACAGTAACTCCCCATTGTTCCATCCTGCTAGTCCTTGGCAACCACCATTCTATTTTCTGTCTCTATGAATTTGATTATTCTAGTTTCCTTAATATAGGTGGAATCATACAATATTTGTTCTTTTGTGTCGGCTTATTTCACTTAGCATAATGTTGTCAAGGTTTCTCTATGTTATAACATGTATCAGAATTTCCTTTTTAAGGTTGAATAATAGTCCTCGTATGTATGTATCACATTTTGTTTGTCAGTTCATCTGTTGATGGGCATTTGGGTTGATTCTGCCTTTTGGCCATTATAAATAATGCTGTTCTGAACATGGGTCCACATATATCTGAGTTCCTGCTTTCAGCTCTTTGGGGTATATACCCACAAGTAGAACTGCTGGATCATATGATAATTATATGTTTTTTGTTTATTTTTTTTCTTCACCTGCCCCACCCTCTATGTTTATTTTTTTAAGGAACGTCAACTTTTTTCCATGGCAGCTACACCATTTTACATCCCAGCAGCAGTGCACAAGGGTCCACTTTCTCTCTATCCTTGCCAGCAGTTAATGCTTTGTTTGTGTTGTATTTTCAGTGTTTAAAATGCAGCTGAAGCTCTTTGCTGATACCAAGGTATCAGAAAATGTTTTCCATAAAGAATAACATTTGATGTTAGAAAGGAATCTTAGTGTTACTTGATGCCCTGCCACCTATTTCCTTCTCTTCACCAACCTCAGTCCATGTCACCCTCTCAGTCCATGTCACCCTCTCTTTTCTATGTCAGCATGTGCAGGGGAGAAAGGAGCTTTGCAGCTCTCCTATGGCCAGCTGTGACAGACATCACCGGATTGTGAAGTGCAGCTCTTCTTCCTTTCACCTGGGAGAAATTTCAGTGATTCTGGGTGCCACCTGGATTCACTTTGGGTGTGATGCTGACTTAATTTTATGGAAATAACACTAGATGGAAAGCTAGAGGATGGATTCTCTATCTTAGGATAAGAGTTTTGAACAAATAGAATACTTAGTTTTCTGAGCCTTCTGTTGTTCCTTATGTAGGAAAACTATAAATTAGAAAGTCTATCATGGTGCCTCAGAGCTGTACGCGGTTGTGTAGGACACTGTGGACGTCTACCACTCACTTTCTCATTTCTCTTGCACAGGGATCATGGCTCAAGTAGCAGTGTCCACGCTGCCTGTTGAAGATGAGGAGTCCTCAGAGAGCAGGATGGTGGTGACATTTCTCATGTCGGCTCTTGAGTCCATGGTGAGATGTTTTCACAGTTCTGTCAAACATTTTATATTTAGACAGGATTGAGCTTGTGGATAACGTTGATTTGTTTTTGTAAAACATAATTTTATGTATTTTAGTTTTCTAAATAGTTATTGTTTGTTTTTTGGCTGCTAGCCAGCATGGGGATTTGAACCCTTGACCTTGGTGTTAGCAACTCCATGCTCTAACCAAGTGAATACCTGGCCAACCCCTGAATAGTTTTTTTGTTTGAATAATAGTTATAGATTTAAGCCTTTCAAATCACATTTTATTACCATGTTTTAGAATGTTCTTAACTTATCTAAATGTTTAATTTTTTACATTTAATTTTAATTTATCTACCATTATCTTTGGCAATCACTTTTCCTGCAAGTGTTGTTTGAAGTTACTCAGAATGAATTTATATATTAGAGTATGGTGCAGGTGTTTTATTGTATCTGTACAAAGAAGATTACCAGAATTTTTGGCTTTAGGAGCATGTTCACTATTTTATATCTATTGTTTATTTTATTCTTCTTATACATTCACAATTGTCTTTACTCTGGTACCGTTTACTTAATCGTGTAGAATGTTATCTCTTTACTTTAAAACAAAAGAAACTATTAAATACATAACTATAGTGAAATACTAAATATTGTTGCTGTGCTTTTATATTACTATGATGTTAGTTATACTATTTGTTTGATTTGTAACTATACATATAATTGGAGACTATATGTCTATAAAAACTATATGTTTTTTATTTCAAATACTGAAACACAGTATTTGATTTAAAAAGCATCAGGCTTAGGTATTTTCTGACACATTAAAGTTAAATATTCTAAGCAGGAGGAGGCTATGCATTTTTACTTTCTTAAGTGGTTGACCACTATTAGCTAGTGTTTGACCTCCAAGGACTCTATATGACATAGTTTATAGATCCCCCCCCCCCCCCCCCTGGGGGGTTTTTTTTTTTTTTTTTTTTTTAAGTAGGA